AAAAAAAATCTGATATAATAGATGTTGTAAGAATGAAAATCAAAATATCTACTCTTTCATACTATTTAAAAATAACTGAATATATTCAAGGGCAAAATTCCTTACAGATTTTGGCGTCTTGTTCTTGTAAAATCCCGATGCAAGAAGTGGTGCCAACCTCCTCTTCCTAACGTAACCGGTTATTAAATATACAGAGTTATCTACCTTGCGAAGAAAATAATTCTGTATTTTTACTGAATTATCAGTGATATTTCATAAAATGATTCTTTTCATATTCATAAACGTTAAGAGTAAGATTCATGCTTTTCCAATTAAATAATTGAATATATTCAAGGGTAAAACTCCTTACAGATTTAGACATCTTGTTCTTGTAAAATCCTGATGCAAGAAGTGGTGCCAACTTCCTCTTCTCAACCTAATAGTAATTAGTAAAATTAGTAAAATTATTAGTAAATGGTACAGCCCAGCTATATTTATGAGTTATTATTTTGGTTAAACAATCCTTAATTACAATTAAAAGATATTTTTAGAAAAAAAAAAGTGCGCCTATATGCCGTCGAATACGGTATTTCAATCATCCCACGGAGATTGTGGTTGTCCGTGTCAGGGTAGATAACTTTATTTTAGTATTTATTAATTTTAGTAAATTTGTTCTTTCGATATTACTTGTTACTTGAATTATTTTTTTATTAACCATTTCGTCTTGGAGGTGTTGAAATTAATAAGCCATTCCTTGCCCCAGTTAATAGTAGATATAGATGATTTTTGAGATCTGCTGCCAACTTGACCTCATTGAACCGATCAGACTTACGATTAAAACAGGAGTAAATAGTTGGTTCTTCAAAATAGATTGACACCTTAATCCACCAGGAAGGTCATTAATTAAAATTAGAAACAACGTCCAAAGATAGAGCCCTGGAGGACACATGAATTGATGCCAAAAAGATCTAGAAGAGTGGCCATTCAGGATAACTTTCATTTCACGATTTGATCAGAAAGATTGAACCAGTTTAAAAATTCTTCTAGAATTACCATAAGCTTTCAACTTTTGAAGAAAACCGCTATACCAATTGTTTGTAAATTGAATTAATTATTTGATTTGTCAATAAATTTTCTGTATTTATTTCATTTGTGTGTGAGTATATATATATATATATATATATATATATATATATATATATATATATGACGTCACACATTCAGGCCAGTAAATGTTGTTAATACTCTTTATTATAAACAGAGCATTTACTTAAATATTTGTATCTATAAAAAAGAACGTATAAACATAAAAAATGTCTTTATATATATATATATATATATATATATATATATATATAGTTATTTTTGCTTTTACTCGTAGGAGGTTTTTTCTTTTGACTCTGAGCTTGGATTCTGGATGATTGTTTTCGCCTGAATTACATGTTCTTAGTTCTTTCTTTTTTTGTTCCTTATTTTTCCTTGCATTTGTTCATTTACAAGCCGGGGCACCTAAGTTTTTTTTCTGGACGAGTATAATTACTTATATTCACAAGATTATTATTATTATTATTATTATTATTATGTTATATATATATATATAGTCATCTACATACAAGCCAGTGTGTCTAGACATCCGATTGCTTGAATCTGGGATCGGAATTCGACCGATTTGGCATCAGTCAGAGATTCTACCCTAAAGCTATCGGCGCACGACTGAGAAATGTGGCACCCTGCATTATTAGAAAACTAAAAAGAGATATTCATAAAAATATGATTTAATTTTTATTCGGTTTATTAACCAGTTGATAGTTATTTAGAGACGAAGAATAATTGAGTTTTGGGAATAATTCTCTAATTGTATTGAGGCGATCCGAAAGAAAGAAAAAGGAAAAAAAAAAAAAAAAAAAGAAATAATAAAAAGAAAGAGAAGGAGAAATAGATCGTACAAAACCCGGTCATAAGTAAAACTAAAACAAAACAGGTGTCAAAAGATATCCAAGTCAAAGTACCTGACCGAAATTGCGGAAAAAATAGAAATTGTTATATTTGGTTGAAGGAATAGAGTTTAGAAATAATGATACGAGACGGGGTAGTGAGGGCGATTGATGCATAACAGATGTCGGTCAAGCACCTGACCTACTTTTCGTGTCCGCGGAGTATGGGGTTTATTATCAATTTGGTTGAAGAAATAAGATTTTAAGAACAATGGAAAAAAATATTAATAAGTGACAAACGAAAAGGGTGTCATTGAGATGAGAGGTGACCGCTGGGAATTGTATACGAAAACAAGAGATTGGTACACAAACCCTGACCAGTTCTAGAGTTGGAGATAAGAACCACCCACGATGATGAGTGAAGAATATTTTCAATTTAGATAATTAAGATTTTGTTAACAGGCCCGAGCGAAAGAAAGAGGTGAAAACAATTGTTTTAGCTCGCAGAAGGCGCCGACAAGGCGAAAAAATTTTTCTTTAAGTCGCATCTAATTAGCGGCAGGCTGTTTTGACAAAGGCCAAATAAGGAAACCAAATCGTCGCCTTTCGTGCGAAAAGGCCAATTTGATTTTGTTTTTTAGACAAGGTATTTCTTCCCCAGAACAAAGCTACGGATTGTCCACGCCCGATTGGAGATGTCACGAAGAAAGGAAGGAAGATACCGACTTGAGTCTCATTAGCCGAGGGCAGTCACATGATACATAAGGGAGGAGGAAAGACGATCGACCAGGACCCCATTGGTCGAGAGCGGTCACCTGACATACGAGAGACCAGGGGAAGTGGGTATGCGCCCCCCAGAGGCACTTTTAAGGAAGTAGGAGTGAAAGTAAGATCGATAATGGGAAATCAGAAATAATGCGACTTTTTGGAATTATCAAGAAAAACCCTGGCGCCGACAGACCCACCCCAGTTTGTTACGGCGTCAATAAAAGCAGGACCCCAGTCGACAGAAATGAGTTGCAGCTGGACCGCGGACAGCGAGGGAGCTTGAACGCGGGCGTCGGGCCCGGTTCATTCGCCCCTTTGCGGGCAAGAGAAACCGGAGGAAGAAATTGTCCAGCCCAAGTCGAAGTGAAGAAAATTGCCCGAAAGCCTAAGAAGAGTTGGAGCTGCAGCCCGAAAGTCGATGAGAAGTTAAAGTTCAGCCCCGGACGACAGAGAGAAGAGTTCGACCTTGGCGAGAAGAGTTGCAGGGCGGACGAAGAAGAAGTTACTTTGCAGTTGCGCCTAGAAGAAGTTGAAATCAAACCAAGCCTAGTAAGGATAGAAATTCGTCCAAGACAAGTCGAAGTGAATAAATTCGTCCAACTCAAGCCAAAGAGAAGAAGTCGATTCGCGCACTGACGGCGAGAAGAATCAGCCGTGAACGACTGGTAGAGATCAGCGCCCAGTGTCGAAACCAAACCACGCCCCGATATGCAAATTTCTAGAGAGTAGGCAACTCAAAGTCTTTTTGTTGTATGGTAGAAGCTTGGTGCCACAGTCCACAAAACGGGGTCGGGAAGTAGGAATAATTTTATGTAACGAACATTTAGATATAAAAGGTTGTTACCCTTTTTATCAGTAATTTTTGGCCTCGTGAGTTTTTTCTTTTTCTTGTGTGTTACCACCCCGTCGAACTCAGCTTGCATACGGCCCCAATCCCTGTTTGATCCCGTCTGTCTAAGATCTAATCACAACGTGGGTAGGCAGACCGGAGATCAGTGCAGTTACCCTAGTAACCAGGCGTTGGAAGCGAGTTGGGAACGGCGAGGCTGGTAATCATCTAACCAAAGGGTTAGAACGTCACACTTGGAGCCGCGAACGAGATCGAACGACAGAGTCGACGCTGCGACCAGGGGGGGGGCGACGTCACAGAAAGAATAATTCTAAACATATTATATACGTGATGTATACAAATGCCAGTAGCCAATAGCGCTCAATTCATAGCTGAAGAGCGATACGTTAATACCAGGATCTGGTACTATTTTTAAAAATTATCTTTTCTCTAGATTGCTCCATCGTTAAACGAGAGAATATATATATATATATATATATATATATATATATATATATATATGTATTTCTGAGGCCATGCTGTAAATTGAATCTTGTGTATGTGCTTCTTATGTTTTGGTCGAGAAAATATAGAAGATGTAAAACTTTCATGTAGTAAAAAGCAGACCATATAATTGAGTAATGAGAAATTGTAGTAATTTTATTGATATCGGAAGAAGGTGCAGTTATGGCTTCATGGTTACATTAGACCAGTATGGAAAATGATTTGCAAGAGTTTAGTTCCATCAGAGCAAACGTTACCATGAGTGATATGCAGCACTTACTATCTGTCTTTGTACTTCAAATTAACACAAGTGCATCAATACTAATTCGATAAAGATTTGATGTTTCAGATCCAAGACATTTCACTGTTAATACATGAATAAGCATGACTTACATTAGGAACGATATGAAAGAAAACTAGGCATTTTTTATGCAATATTTTTACTTATTTATTTTATCTACCGATTGAAAATAGAAATCTAGAATTATATCAGATTAAATAGAATTGTCGTAAACAAATATATATAAATAATAATTTTCAATTTTAAAGAGGGAATTTTAAAAATATATATCCACATAATATATACAACTATTTATAATACATAATAAATACATAACAAATACATAATAAATATACGTAAATAATAATTGTCGTAATTTTAAAGAGGACATTTTAAAAGTATATATCAACATAATATATACAGCTATATATAATGCATAACAAATACAAAACATAGACATAATAAATCTACCTAAATAATAAATGTCGTAATTTTAAAGAGGATATTTTAAAAGTATATATCCACATAATATATACAACTATATATAATACATAATAAATACATAACAAATACATAATAAATGTAAGTAAATAATAATTGTCGTAATTTTAATTTGGTCTTAGCGCGCAGTCGGGCGATGTTGTAGAGTTTGCCGTCTGTTCTAGTGCGGATGTAGATGCCCTCCGTGCAGTCACAGAAGGCGTACCGGAGAAGTATGGACAAGAAGATCCCAGTGTCGGCGCAAGGACGCAGCCCTGCTTTACGCCACTGCTCACAGGGAAGGCGGCGGATATCCCGCCGTTGTAGGAGACTGTGCTGTGCATGTCCTCGTCGAAGGACTTGACCATCTGGAGCAGTCTTGGGGGACATCCGACCTTCCTCTCCAGGAGGCTGAAGAGTCCGCCTCTGCAGGTCACGGCACTTCTCCTGCAGCTGGCGCAGCGAGAAGATCATGTCCACTGTAGATCGGGCCGCCCTGAAGCCTTACTGCGACTCGGGGTACACACGGGAGGCGAGGCTCTGCAGGCGTGGCAAGACAATGCGGGCAAAGACTTTCCCGACAACACTGAGGAGGGAAATGCCGCGGTAGTTATTGTAGTCGCTGCGGTCACCTTTATTCTTATAGAGTGTGACAATGTTGGCATCTCGCATGTCCCGGGTGACGTTGCCCTTCTCTTAGCACAGCACAGGAGCTCGTGGAGATGCCGCAGCAGAGCTGGCTTGCCACTCTTCAGAACCTCCGATGGGATCCCGTCCCACCCAGGAGACCTCCCGCAGGAGAGACAGTCGATGGCTTTTTCGAGTTCTTCTGCAGAGGGCGGGGCATCCAACTCCTCCATGACTGGGAGGCTGGGCAAGACATCCAGGGCGGCATCCGTCACCACGTTCTGGGTTGCATAAAGCTCCAGGTAGTGCTCCACCCAGCGCTCCAGCTTGCTTGCCCTAATCTGTAATGACCTCTCCTGCTGGCAGTTTTGATGTCGGCGGTTTTGATGTCTGCGTACATGCCTCTTGTGTTTCCAATGTCGGCAGCCGTTTGGATCCTGCTGCACAGGTTCAGCTAGTAGTGCAGTCTGTTGGGCCTTGCTGCGATCAGCTCTGAGGACATCGCGGGGTTTTGACGCAAGGGTTTTGTTAGTAGGCCAGAAGTGCTTGTCTCTTGGCTTCAGAGGCTCGCTGCATCTCATCCCATTGTGCTTCGTACCAGTCCGCATTTCGACAATCCTTCTTCCTGAACGCACTAAGGGCTGAGGTGTATATGGCATCACGGAGCGCTAAATGTGCTTTGGAAGCGACGAGACCTCTCAGGGTCATTGAAGCGACAGGTGTTGATGCGAGGAGGCCCTTGGTTTTGGAGCGGTGTATTTTCTTAGTTGTCAGTCTCACTTTGCAGGGAGTGGTCCGTGTCGCAATTTGCGCTGTGGAAGTCCCGAGTGTGAAGAATGCTCCTTAGGTCTTCACGCCTGGTGATGACAAGGTCGAGCTGGTGCCAGTGTCGAGAACGGGGGTGTCTCCAAGAGACTTTGTGGCGTTCTTTGCACTTGAAGAAGGTGTTCGTCACGCACAGTCCGTGGTGGCCGAACAGTTCCAGCAGCCGCTGTCCATTCTCATTCATCTTGCCTATGCCCTGACGACCGAGGCAGGAGAACCAAGTGTCACAGTCGGCTCCCACTCTAGCACTGAAGTCTCCTAGTAGGTATAATCCTTCAGTATTGGAGTTCCTGGGGTGGCGCAGAGCGTTGCGGGTAGATGCAGAGGACGTTGGCGAAAACTGTAGATGTTGAGATGCGCATTGCTAGGATTCTCTCAGATCCGCCAGTTGGTAGTTCAATGGCTGGTATCAGCGAGTTCCTCACAGCGAAGCCAACGCCATGTTGCCTTGGGTCATCCTGAGGCAAGCCCAGAAGAAGGTGTAGTTGGCCTCTCTGATGGAACCGCTGTCAGCCAGACGAGTCTCTTGCAGACAGTCGGTGCCAATGCCCAGTCTTGAGAGTTCCCTGTTTATGACCGCGGTCTTTCGACGATCGTCGATCTGTTGGATGTCATCTGCGAGTCCAGGGCGCATGGTCCGGACGTTCCAGCTAGTAAATCGAAGAGCTGGGGTCTTTGTGTTTCTCTCGTTTCTGCTTGGTGCGGGATTTACAGCTTGCTTGATCAGGAGGATCAGTCCCTGAGACATACCCACCCAGTAGAGCAGGCAAGCTGTGGCGGGACAGCACCCTATTGGCTGGGGGCTGCCCAGCTTGAGACGGGCGATAGCTGTCCAGTGAGACGCGATGATCTCTCCCAACGACGGAGGTGACCCCAGGCGCCCGTAGCCTACGCCAATCGGGTAACTGTCACTTTCCGTGTTGTACCGATGTCTTGCGACGTCGCTGGAGTGTCCTCTCCAGTCCCCTACGAGCCTGGGCCGGATGTATGGAGAACTAGGGCTGCCATATAGGAGGGCTAATATTACACAACATTTCAGTACTCTTTTCTTTGTTTCTAGCGATATGTTAATTAATACTTTGCTTATCTTTTAGAAGGCATCTTTCGCTACCCCAATGTGCCTTCGGATTTCAGTGTTGCACTTTCTGTCCTCTGTTAAAACACTTTCCAGATATTTATATGGTTTGATTTTGGAATCTTCAATTGGTAATTTGCATGTTGTTCTGTTCCTTTTACTGACAACCATACATCTTCTTACAATTGATGTTTATTCCTTTCTTTTCATTTGCCTTCAATACCTTCTGTAGGAATTCTTGTAGTTTCTTTTCTGTGTCTGTAATCAACACTGTGTCATCTGCATATCTTATGTTGTTAAGATTGTGGCCGTCAATAATGAAATCTTGTAGAACTTCTAATTCTCTCCCAATTGCCTCACTGTATAGGTTTAATAAGACCGGTGAGAAGACACATCCTTGTCTACTAACTCTTTATATTTTTGTATATTTACTGAATTAATTATCTGTCTGTCAGCATCTCCATTACAATTCCTGCTGGTTTGTTTATTTTCAATAAGGACAGTGCTGATTTCGCTTCAGATTTTAACATTTTTTATCCGTCGATATTTCTGTGTATTCCAGGTTGGCCACTTAACTACCCAGACTGCAACCCCCTTGATTATTATGTGTGGGGCACAGTAGAGAGAGAGAGAGAGAGAGAGAGAGAGAGAGAGAGAGAGAGAGGGGGCAATGAAACTCTTTGTTACATCAAAGATAAAATGAAAGCAAGGATTATGTGTGGGGCACAGTAGAGAGAGAGAGAGAGGGATATATATATATATATATATATATATATATATATATAGAGAGAGAGAGGGCAATAAAACTCTTTATTACATCAAAGATAAACTGAAAGCAAGGATTATGGCAGAATTCAACAAGATTTTATTTTTTGTTTTAGTTTTTTAGCCTTTGTTTTTGTATGAAACATTGGAAATATTAATGATTGTTTTATTCCTGTTTTATGCTTCGTTCTTTGTTGGGATAACAAAATACTATATATACGCGGAATGATGTTTATATAGTTTTTCAGGGGGTGATTTCTGTCGTTCGGCAATGTACGGGACTCAAGGGTGCAGTATTAGAGACCTAGAATATCTTTGCCTGACATTTCACTTCAAACTGAGTTTCTGCTGAGTAATATACATCTAATTCCTTCCTTGGTTTCTGCTATCATCTCTAAATTGGAACCCCACAAAATGTGAACCTCATTGAATTCTTGCAACAATCTTCAAGAAATGTGCTTCCGAACTGGCTCCTGTTGTCTCTAAACTTTACAATATGTTAAAGGGTCCACCCCTATTTATACAAGTGGACTCACTCAGTGTGTACTTGTACTGCTGCCGGTGAATACCCGGGAGTGATACAGTGAGATAGTGAGAGAGTGAGAGTGTGAGGTAACCGCTTTGTAGGAGTCAGAGTTGCGAGCACGTAGACTCAGAAGGAAGTCATACTTCGATACTGAATTTCCCAGACTGTATATATATATTATTATTGATACTAACCGCATTTCTGGATCTACTAACCGTATTACCAATTGTATTATTACGTCAATACATTTATTTGCTATATTTCATTCCTGTGTTTGTCATTCATTTGAGACCGGATTTCATCCCGGAATCCACAACACAATAAATGCCTGGCTGCTTCTAGCTTGTTACAGGCCCTCATCTGTAGTTCCAGTTTTTAAGAATTCAGGCGAACCGTCTGATCGTTCTAACTATCGGCCTGTTAGAATTTTACCTCTTTTTGGCAAAATACTAGCGGCGCTAATCAACCCTGAATTTATTAATCTCATATCGCAGGGTTTTCTTTCAGATAGGCAATATAGCTTTCTCTTTTCTACGTCAACTGCTGATGTATTGACGATTATTGGTGAAAGAGTCTATCTTGCGTTAGATAAGAAGCACGGTCTGTTGCTTTGGATATCTCGAAGACATTTGACAGGATTTGGTATACCGGTCTTCTTCAAAAGTTGAAAGCTTATGGTAATTCTAGACGAATTTTTGAACTGGTTCAATCTTTCTTATCAAATCGTGAAATGAAAGTTATCCTGAATGGCCACTCTTCTAGATCTTTTTGGCATCAATTCATGTGTCCTCCAGGGCTCTATCTTTGGACGTTGTTTCTAATTTTAATTAATGACCTTCCTGATGGTTTAAGGTGTCAATCTATTTTGAAGAACCAACTATTTACTCCTGTTTTAATCGTAAGTCTGATCGGTTCAATGAGGTCAAGTTGGCAGCAGATCTCAAAAGTCATCTATATCTACTATTAACTGGGGCAAGGAATGGCTTATTAATTTCAACGCCTCCAAGACGAAATGGTTAATAAAAAAATAATTCATGTGAGTAACAAACAACATCGAAAGAACGAATTAACTAGAATTAAATAATACTATAAATTATCTCCCCTGACAAGGACAACCACATGAGAATAATCTCCGTGGAGTGATTGAACTAATTAATAAAGGTTCAAGTTTGAAAATCTCCGAAAGTTGCTAAATAAACGTGGGAATGGCAGGAGGATAAAACGACTGAAACTATATGAAAGATATCAATTCAAATAAATCAGTGTACAATAATAATTTTATTTTATTTTCTAAAAGTTTTTTGAAAGTTTGTGAAGAGGAAGTTGGCACCACTTCTTGCATCAGGATTTCACCAGAACAAGACGCCTAAATCTGTAAGGAATTTAAACCTTGAATATATTCAATTATTTAATTGGAAAAGCATGAATCTTACTCTTAACTTTTATGAATATGAAAAGAATCATTTATGAAATAGCCAGATAATTCACTAAAAATACAGAATTATTTTCTTTGCAAGGTAGATAACTCTGTATATTTAATACCCAGTTACGTTTCGTGAATCTAATATTTGGTTTGTTTTGTTTTACGGCATATCAACCTCAATGGGTTATTTAATGTCGACAAGATTTTTATTGCTGGTAATATTCTTGTTCAAAAATGTATTGCGGATAATATTTTTTTCAAAGATATATTGCTGGTAATATTTTCCGCAAAAATGTGTTGCTGGTAATATTCTTGTTCAAACATGTATTGCGGGTAATATTTTTTTCCAAAAATGTATTGCTGGTAATATTTTTTTTCCGAAAATGTATTGCTGTAATAATGTATTGCTGGTAATAATTTTTCTTCAAAAATTTATTGCTACTAATAATTTTTAAAAAAATGTATTGCGGGTATTAAAACCTATTTTTACACTTTCCTAGTGTTTTTACACGAGCTTAGGGTTAACTATTTGCCCATAGCTTGGACCCTAACAGGTGTTACCACGCCGGGTCAGGGTGGACCTGGGAGAACCAGCAATTAAGAGGTGGTTCTTCCTTGCTGTTGGACGTAGTTTATCGTCTTACCCAGGACGTGGATGTAGTTTATCATCATACCTAGGACGGAACATTTAATTTCGTGTACATTTCAAGTACAAGACTGACCGGTTGGATAATTTATAGTTTTGCACACGTTTGAAGGTAGCAGTTAGATACCTTTTTTAAAACTTGTTTGACTTTATCATTCGAAACTTTTATAACCGAATGAATAGTTTTGATTTATCGCGTGTTTATTAAAAGTCAAATAGCCAACTGTAATAAGTTCGAATTTTAATGAAGACAAATATTTTAGAAGCAAAATCTCTGCCTAAAATGTGCACATAAATTGATAATTTTAAAATGTGGTCTTATTCCGTCTATTTTTCGAAGTTTTATTTTTTAATTTTTATTGATTTCCTGTTTTTATTGATTTGTATGGAATGTATATTTTCGACATCCATATGCACGCAACAAACTTACAGATTTCTATTTCAACATTGAGTCTAACCATTTTCTTTGTATCCATGAAAGAAAAGTCCGTTGCTTATAAAAGATCCAAGGAAACACTCAAGCAGTGAGATTAACATCCTACACAATGCACTGACACAGTACACTTGAAATTGAATTACTAGGCAACACACGTACATTCAGGATCTGCCGATAAATGTAAAATCCTCGGGAAAAAAAGCATCTAAAAAGGATAGTCAATAAAATATCAGGGAAGCTTTTAAGAGTAAAGCTACATTACAAAACCTTTTCACAAATGTCAGTACTTCACAAGAGAAAATATGATTGTGTACATGGTATCTCATAGCAGAGAACATGAGGAAAAAAAACTAAATCAGTTGCTCACAAAACAAATGGAAAGTCATTATTCAAGAGGAGATAACTAAATTAGGAATGACAAAACATATATACAGAGGCAATGTCTACTCTGGAATGATGTAAAAGTGATAGATATCGGGAAACTCAGGATGATGAAAGAAAATTCATATATGAATTTCTTAAAATGATTATTATAAGCAAATCATATATACAGATTAACAGCATAGAAAAGCCAGTGCTTATAAAACTAATTTTAGCAGTTAAGACCTTCCGCAGCAGTAGCTCCTATAACATTTAAAAATTAGCAATGGTACTAATGCAAAGCATCTTAAAGATCAACAAAAAGCGATGTCTTTGATAGGAGACGGAGCTCTTAGAGTTTAGACTGTTTTCGAATTAACTAACACGCGTGACATTTTCAAACCATGATTTTGGGTCAAAGAGATGACCCCCCTCCAAAAAAAAAAAAAAAAAAATCAAACAAACGAAACAAAAACAAAGAAGAAGAAAATAAAAAAAAAAATATTCAAAAACAAATTCTAAAGAACACCGGCACAATATAGGAATACAAAATGTGCATAAGATGTTATTATCAACTAGTTAATTGAAATAAAATGGATATTATTAATTATAAAAGTTTAGACTTTTAGTTTATCGGCTCGGATTGAGGGATCGAAGAGCTGAGTTCGAATTCCAGTTGAATCTATTACATGCACTTACGTGCTGGGGAAGGTAGAAATCCTCTTCTTCTTCCCCCCAGCTATGGGTAAATAGTAGGATAGACCGGGTTCTATAGCCTTGGATGGCGACTGGTCTACCGGAGAAAGAAATGGCAACCCACTGTGGGGAAAAAAAACTGTCTCGTCAGTCATGTATCGAAAGATACATGATCGCCTAAGCGTGTATCAAGCATGGCATATAACTGACTGACTGAGACTGGGGCTACTTGTTCCCAAGTATTCCTGCTTTCTAGGGTAGTTAACTCTTCCTAATTAAAATGCCCTCTCAGGTACATTAATTTTCTTTTAATACCCAGAGGAACAATTTGTTTTTTATACTGAAAATATATCGAGCGGACCTTTAGTTACATTTTTTAATGCATTTCACCCCCCCCAAAGCAAGGCGGGAGTGCCATTAGTATGCAGAGGGTTATTGAGAGTGAAAGTGAGGGAACAGACTGTATAGAATGGGGGAGGGATTGAAAATAAAAGTATAAAAGAAGAACGGGAATCAAGGTAACAGTAGATGGCGATTGACATTGCTTTTAAATTTGTTTTCTGGGAGAGAGTGTATAATCTAATAGTTGAACAAAAGTCAGTACACTCAAATCCAAGATAACATGTCACTTCGTTCTAGCACAACTATCAATGGCTTTTGAACAGTTTTGTCTACGTAATTTTATTGGCAAGGCTTCAACGAACGGGTACCACACGCTGGAATCTTGCCTCATCGTCGGAAAAACATTATATTATCAAGTTATCTACCTGACAAACCGACCATGGTGAGATTCTAATCCGGGTTTCTCATAGTCGGAACGCTAACGTTCTCGCCACTCGGCCATGAATCTCACTGAACCGCTGGATAACATGATTTCGTTTAACTCTTGATTCTTTTACAAACATTGTCTAGTTTTTGCTTCCATAGAATTGATTACTTTAATGCCATTTTACATCAGCGCAATTAAAGTATTCATCAATAGAGTACTGGAATACATATACAGGATTTTAACATTAAATTTACGATTTATTTGGACAAAATCAATTTATATAAAAATGATATATTCGTATATATAATTATTTCACCGTCCTCAGCATTTATTTATTCCACCTTGACAGGAAATTATAAATTCTCTTTCTCAAATATTTTTCATTCAAAAAACTCATTCACAATTTCTTTAATTTGATGCTGATAGGAGTTCTTGTTTGTAAGGTTGGACATAGATGATAAGATGTTCCTCCATATGAGAGCGGTTGGTTAACGAGCCAGGGAGCAATAATGTCTCAATTTTTACCTTATTTGAGAATTGTTAATTTTGTATCACGACGACAACAAATGTTGTGCAGCAAAATGACATTTCTAAACCCCCAAATGTGTACTATTTGTTCTACAGTGTGCACCGCAACACCCCCCCCCAAAAAAAAACATGAAATTTTAGATTTAATACGATGAACTAACATATAAAAAAATCAACTATATATTTTACTATATGAATGAAATAAAAATAACTAATATATTAATTTTTTAATCATTTGTTGTCCCAAGATGCTGCAGTTATCAAATTTTCGACGTGAGATTATGGTTTTCTTTAAGAACTTGGGGACTGAAAAAATACCAAGAAATTTTGCCAGAGTTATTTATTTTGAACACCACATCAAACATTTGCGTTTTTGTTATGTTTTAAGTTACTAAATTTTGATACTTTGCTCTTGTTTCAAATAACTCTAACAAAAAATTCTGACAATTAAATAAACTGTACCAAATTTGCTGTTTTTTTGTGGGGTACCCTGTAAATTGAAACCACTGAAAATTCACCCGAACCCCTTTCAGAGATGATAACACCGTTTAAAAAATGTTTTGTAGTTTCCCTCGCATCGAGCCACGGTGAAAAACTTCGCGCATTATTCGAAAAATGATAATGTCGTAGCATAAAGTATGATGCAATCCCCCAAAAAACGGATTAAGTTTTAAAACATTACATAGAAATCATGCGCACACACACATATATTTTGTGTACTTGTTAGTGTTTGCGAACGAATGTGCCTTTGTGCGTACGTGTGCGTGCGTGAGAGAGAGAGTGAGAGAGAGAGAGAGAGACAGAGAGAGAGAGAGAGAGAGAGAGAGAGAGAGAGAGAGAGAGACAGAGAGAGAGATATAATATATATCGTGATAAAATGATGTTTAAAATGCATTTTACGACAGCATGCTGATGGCATTCACGTTACAAACTCGATGGCCAAACTGAACGAGGAAGAAAAAGACCTCAGGTCATTTTAAATGTCTTTCAGTCTCTTGATCATCTCGACACAAGATTACCGATAACAGAATTTGGCTGTTCTGACCATCGACGCTGTAACAAATCGAATAAAGACCGAGTTGGATCAATACGCCATTTCAGAGAAATGGAGTTGCGCGTTTGAGTCCAGCGGCAGAGAAAAGAAAGTTTAAAATTTGAGAACTGACATTTTTACAACTCCATATTGAGCAATCCCGCACTTGTAAAATCATTTATATCTTTGGATCATTTCGTGAAACCAATCCTGTCAAAGAACTGAAATTAGTATATAAATTGGATCATGGATAAATTGGATCACTGAGATCTAGATTTGCTCAGTATCACTCCTTCAGCTTTTATTTCAAATGGTGTACCACTTACAAGATAATTGAAAAACAAGTGAGGATTGGACATATTCAGCCCAGATATGACAGCAATATCCCCTTTTGGTCTGATCTGGTTTTTGTAAAGGTACAGCATAGCAGGGAGAGTCAGATAATTATTGGAGCGGTACAAGGAACTGGCCATTTTCTCAGCATCTTTAGCAATGGATCGTATATTAATCCATTTTTTTTAAAAAAACGATTTCACTACATGCAAGGCAGTGAAGACACAAGGGATTACTGAGTGTGAAAGAATTAGAAAACAGAAACATTACTAAGGAGCGATAACAATAGAAGAGTAATCAAGAAGACAGAAAGATAACGATTGACATTGCATTTAAAATTTTGAAGATTGAAGTTGACTGGAAAGCATGGAACTGGAAGAGAGTAACACAAGTGAGAAGTGCGAGAATAGAAACTGTTAGCATGAAACTTACGGTTACATCAATCCAACTCAGCTATAATTTGATGAACCAGTCGAACACAGCGCTTAAATTTATAGAGATTAGGTACTATAACGAAGAGCTCATCCTAACAATTACCACGAAATTATTTATACAAATGGCACAGTGAAGCTACGCTATGAAGGCGGTAAAAGTGATTGAAGATGAGATACCAATGACATTGCATTTTTTCTTTGGATTTTATCAAGTATCTCTAGATATCAGAACCACCAGACCATAGGGGGCAGCAATATTCTAAGCATAGGCGAATGATAGACTTATAGATATGTAAGATAGATTCTGGAAAGAAAAATTATCGAGCACGATACAGTGAACCAACTTTCTTATCAGCAGACCTAGCAATGGTTTTAATATATACTTTCTACTTCATGTTAGCCGAGAAGCCATTCTTTGCCCCAGTTAACGTTGTTTTTGACATCAGCCTCTAATTTGATCTTTTCGAACTGATCGTACTTATAATCGAGTCAGGAGTTGATGGTTGTGTCATTGACATAAAGGAAGAAAATGGGTAACTACCGACATCGAGGTTCGAACGTGATACTCTGGACTTATAAATATATGTTTTCCACCAGGTGCATAAAAAGCGGTGACAGGTGACTAACTGCAGTGATTATTTAATGACTATTGAGTGGAACTATCCAGTCGAATTAGTATGAATTATTTTGCGTCGATGATTTGGGTTTTGATTTAAGATTTACCGGAAGTTAAGCCGAGCCGCGCTACTAACAAAGTATTCACTGAAATGGTTAATTATGCTTGGTCGACTTTTACTTATTTGTTTTTGTTAAGTATTTATTTGCGGTTGTAATTAAATACTGTTTTATATATCCACTGAAGTCTTGAGTTATACTTAATTATTAAAGACCACCGTACGGCACAAAATTCATCAGTATAAAAAAGTTGAGAGCTGATGCCATTGGGAAGGTCGTTAATGCAAATTAAAAACAAAGTAGAATCAAGAATAGAGCCCTGGGGTCACTGAGATTAGTAGAAAGAGATCTAGAAGAATGGCCGTTAAAGATAACTTTCAATTCACGATGTTATAAGACTGAATCAGTTCAGAAACGTGTCCAGAGAAAGCGTAACTTTTCAATTCGTGAAGAAGACCTGTATGTAAAAGCCTTTCGAACGCTTTCGAGATGTTTAATGCAACAGACCGAGCTTCACCATTCTCATCTAAAACTTGATAGACCCTTTCCGTAATGATCGTCACTATATCAGCAGGTGACGTTGAGGAACGAAAGCCATATTGCTTTGCCTGAAAGACGGTCCTGCGAAGTGAGATGCGTACATTTTGTGGTCTGCGGTGAACTTGAGTCCCAACAGACGTTCAAGGCATGGCGTCTCCTTTGGAGAACACTCATCCATCATGATAGGTAAAAGTTCAGCGTCTGCTCGGTGAGGATGGAACGCTACTTGTTTGGTTTTGGACGTATTTTATAAGCTAGTTCTTCCCCCAATCAGCTATCAGGGCTAAATCAGAGGAGAGATCAACAGCCAGATTCTGGTCATCAAGATTTTTGGAGGTGCGCCTATGCATATCTAGGGTCATTCTCAGAACGTATATATA